GTCTATTTCTAATTCTAATCACTCTCTGCCACCAACCCCTGACCCAACACCAACAGAAAAGCATGAATAAACCAGCCCCCTTCAAAAACACAAAATCAAACCAAAAAAACCCCACAAGTTCATAAGAAAGCTCCAAAGCAAACTATGTTATTACCTGTTTCTGAGGATATGAAAAGGCTTCTTTTCCTATAGTGCGAAGAATAACATGATGCTGACCTTCCAAAATAAGCTGTTTACTGTCTTCCACAACATATGCCTAAAAAATATAAAACACAAAAATGTTACTCTGTTTGGCAGTAACCTCAAAAGCAACCAGCCTAATATTTGATGGAAGATAGAACTATTATGGCAAATATCTATCAGTTATCAACACTCCTGGTCATGTGAGCATCTGTTTTTATTAATTCATTCAATCGATAAAGTATCTGTCCAAAAAAATGGGGTTTGCCTCAATATAATAGTTGGCCTGCATATTTGAGACACATCTCAAAATCTTTTCCAGTTTTCTCTACAATTCTTAAGAAACTACTTCAAAAGAACTGTGCCATAATAAACTGTGCCATAAACAAGCTTTTCTCTTTACTGAACTACCAATATACAAACAAAATATTTGCTTCTGAAATTCCCTAGGGTTTATCACATAGCAGAGCCAAATCAGTGAGTACAATCATAATTCTGTAAGTGGAAATGTTACGTCCTTGAAGACCTTAAATATAAATACATATGCTTTTAAAAAGGCTTTTTCTTCCAATATAGTAAGCTGATTTCATCTATATTGAAACACTGGTTTCAGTTTACAATAATTCTTCTTTCCCTTGAATTGCTTCTGTCCTAGAAAAAATATAAACTATAAATGGCTCTAATGTACTATTATTGTAACATTATGCAAATATAAGGACTTAATTTTTTTTGACATGCCCAATATTTTTATTATTAGATTCGAAAGATATAAAATTACTCAGTTAAAATGCTACAGAAGTTCCTAAATGCTTACTTTCAATTTCTGTATTTATCATGGACCAGTGACAGTTTGCCATCCATGGATCACACTTTGAGCAGTGCTGTACTAAGGCACAGGACAGTTCAGGACCTGCTCAGCATCCGTATTTGCAGAACCCAGAAAGGGAGGATGAGTTAAACACCTGATGGGTTGATCGTTAATCAAGAGGGGATGAGACCTGACAGATGAGGTCCTGAGATATATCAGATATCTTTTCCGATGATCCCATGGGATTGACCAATAGTCACCACAGCCATGGCTAATTCTATGAGGCATCCTCCTCCTTGCACAAAGGCTTAGATTTACTTATTTATTTACTTTTTAGAGACAAGTAAATGTCGCTATGTCACTAAAGCTTGAGGACAGTGGTGCAATTACATGTTGCCACAACCTCAAACTCCTGGGCTCAAGCAATAAAGCTTAGATTATAAAAAAACAATCTTTATTTTTGGTTAAGATTGGTTAAGACTTGTACTAGGCTCCTTTCTCAACTATTTCTTCACAAAAATGTTGTACAAGCTCTCAGTTTTCTCCTGAATCATATTTTATTCAAGAGTCCGATGCTTCTTGTGCTTCTACTCCATAACTTAAATTACTTTTCAAGTTTTCTTTAATTCAATGGATCATTTTTGTATTATCTAGAACTATCACTAAAGAAAATCTATCATTTCCTCCTCTAAGTAAACTATAAATTTATCATGGTACTAGACACCACTAAACTTAGTATCTCATTCTTTAATCTACTCAAACTTCCATCTCCCAGCCAGGAAGCATCAAAATCTTAGATAGTTTTCCTCTTTGTGTGTTTAATGATACTAGTAGTGGACTTTTGCTCAGACCATTTTTTAAAAGATAGCAATTTTCCCTTTAACAAAGGTTACTGTGGACTTAACAATGAGTACAGAATACAGGATACTTTACTCATAATCTTGTCTCAGAATATTCTGGATTGTTACAGTGTATGAACCTGCGGAGTGACAGGCACAAATGCCAAGGGTCTGTTTTACACTTATTTAATGGATGGTGGCTTATATTAACAAGGCAATGCTGT